AAAGCAAATCAGTGTTGTATGTAAACCAAGTTAACTACTGAGGACTCTGCCATAGCCCTGCTACTTTTGCTCCCATTTGGTAAGTGGGTTAATAAAAAATAAAAGGTTTGGCTTAGTTATTGACTAGCACTAAACATCGTAAAAGATGCAATTGCAAAGCCTCATTTGCCTCACTTGATCACTTATCTAACAGTTTTGAGCTAAAGAAAACTTTTTGTAATATACTTGATATGAAAAACTGATCATCATGGAAGAAAAATTTATATAAAACCATTAATGTAACTTCACCCAACAGCTTAAGCTTTTGGGTTGAATTGGTTCTTTACATGGTATAAGAGCCTCGTGTCCCGGGTTCGATCCTTGCCGCTCCCCACTTTCTTTTAGGTGGAATTTCTTTTGTTCGCACAAGTAGGTGGGCCTGTGCATTGTCCACTCTTCAAGTCTAATGGGCTCTCGTGTGAGGGGGCGTGTTGAGATATATAATCCCACATTGGTTGTATGTGCAACTAATGTGGAGTTTATAAGGCTTTGGGCACTCCCACCTTTGAGCTAGCTTTTGGGGTGGTGTATCCTAAGGTTCTTTACACCCTGAACCTATTATAAACAGAAATAAGGAATGCTATAAAGATAACACACAAACTAGTTTATCAAACACCAGCTTATGTGAATAATTAATAACTGTATAGCTCAACCTCATTTCTAAGCTATCAGACTCCATCTCTTCCTTTGGTTGAAGCAGTTTGTTTTATCCACCTCTATTCATTACTTATAAACCATTGATCTTATCTCCTCTATATCCCAATATGTGCAATTCTATATTTTAGCTAGGTTTAGGGTTAAACTTAAAGGACTCAAGTTTTGGCTCTATTCTTTATGTGTTAACTGGTTATACCAAGTTTAGGGTTTGTAGTGGTTGATTTTGACCCTTCAAATCTCCTCGTCCACCTTTGTTTCTGAATAAAATGCAACGCAGAACAGATTCATCTGTGTTATTTGAGTTAAAATTGAGGATTTGAAAAAAAAAAATGCCAAAAAAATAAAAATAGAGAAAATTTCTGAGCTATGGACTACTGTATGTAATTTTTTAAACCTAATTTCTTTGTTCGTCTCTCGTTATTGTTTTTACTATCCATAATAATGTTCTTCCATTCATTTTAACCTATGATAGTTTGAAATACTCAATGAATTCAAGCATCTAGCATGTTTTTATTTTTCTGCTCTGTTTTTCCTTTTCGTGCATACTATTTCCTGCATCGTGAAATAGAAACCATGTTTTCTATGAGGAAGTTATCTGATGCCACGAATTGCTCTTGAGATCCTAAATATAGTGCTGAATGCTGAAAAGTTTTCATGTATTCTATAGAACAGTATAAGTATAAGAAAAAAAAAATGTACCTGGGAATTTTGTGAAATTCTTCATGAGTCATTTCCTTTATATGAAGCAAAAATAGAATAGAAAAATCCGTTTTCTGCATATAAATTTGGTCTAAATGAGACATACAGAGAAGAAACCCTGTTTCTTTACCTGGCTAACTAATGAGGTAAGGTAGCTATTATAGGAAATGACGAGAAAAAAGAAACAGACTAAGATATCTCTATATGCAAAACTTAACTGAACTGTGCATTTTCAAGCCCATATGTTTGTAGTGCTGCTTCCTCTTTTGTTCATCTAGCCTTGTGTTGGGATATTAAGATGTGATGACTTCATGAGTCTCACATTCGTAATGGTTAAATGAAGTGGATATAAGTGGATGGATACATAAATCGAATAAGTTGCGATGTGGTGTTGAATTCATTGGTGGTGATTCCCCGTCACAAGTTCTCTCTGGACTATTTTCAGAGTCAAGTTAGACTTGAGCTAACTTAATAATTGACTAAAGACATGTTAAGTACTTAGACATGGGGTACTCGGAAAGAGAGGAGCATATCATTAGTGGATTAAGATGAAACAAACTCAACGTCTTGATATTTATCTTATGTTGCACAAGACAAACAAGCTTCCTACACAAAAAAAGTGAAGGTGAGTTTCACATCTATTTTTTTTTTCTCTTCTTACATGTGGATCCCACTTGTAATTTTATTTCTATAATATAAGATAATCATTTTTCTACGACATAAGATAAATATAATCCTTTTTAAAATTACGGATTCTCACTTCTCACTCTTTTCCTTTTAATATATTTGATGAAATGAAATGAGAGAAAGAAATTAAGATGTACTTTTTTTGTCTGCAGCACCCATTAACCTCAATGTTTGGCTAATAGAAGGATCAGGATAAAAATAGTGAGGAGTAGGTTAATTAAAATAGAGAAAAGCAAGTGTTATGCAACATGAAAATTGTTTACTTTCCTACAGAGATTTCGAAATTCGTGTTTTCATATTTTATTTTATTTTTTTTAAAAGTTATGGTGAGTCCCATTAGTTTTTGTGTGTATAGCATAATGAGACTAATATCCTGCAACATTATAATCGTTTGACCCATTAAAATATAATGAATATGTGTACAGAGGTTAAACTGACGAAAGATATATACGGGTTGTACACAAAGACTTCTACGTGAAAAAAGGGTTCACTTTGGATAATGCATCCTATCCTACTATTGATTATTATTTTTTTCATTCTGTCTAAAATAATAACGCTTTGTATATGAACTAATGAAGTGGTGGGTTATATCTGTTGAAGAAAGTCTCTTTCTAAATGCTATCGTCATGATTGTGAAATTACTTTAACTAAACCAAACACACACATATATATATATGTTCAGATCATTTTACACCAGTGTAAGTTATACTCTCAATCTTGTCCATTGATCTCACTTATATCTAAGGGCTCAAATTTTTTAGTAACGTGAGTCATTGGATACAAGTGGATCAATGGTCAAGATTGAGTGTAAGACTTGTAACTCTTACACCGGTGTAAGAATATCCTGCCTCATATATATATATATATATGGATTTTATTAATCTTCTTTTACATAAGATAAGTACTTATGTTGTAGAGAGAAAGTGAGTGGGTCTCACCATTACAAGAAAAAAGAAAAAGAAAAAGAAAAAGAGTGAGATACGGAAATCGAAGTGAGAGAAAATGAGATAAGTTACCTCATATAAAAGGAGAGTAATATTTCCCTATATATATATATATAACATATTCGTCCCTTGCCTTGAATATTAAAGGATAAATTTTATGTATGCACCAATATAAAAAAAAATAATGTATATGATCTCAGATCTCCTATGTTGAAGACACGTAGAAGCATGATTTAAACAAATATGTTAGAGACTTTGTTAGGTTTTTTAATTCTTAGTGTAGACTGAGGGAAAAAAAGAGAGAGACAGAGAAAGGGATTAAAAAAAAGGTGTGTGCTTTCTATTATGTTTACTCTTTTTAGTCTTTACCAACACCTGCTGCACAAATTGGCTGCAACTCTTTTTATCTTTGTATGCCCCACAAACTAGCGCTTGTGTTTAGTCATTTTTACAGAAAAGAGGTCAGGTATATCTAGTGCCATACACTTGCAAGGGCTCGGATCACACAGCTTCCTTATAATAAATACTAATTCAGAGACAGGAAGCAGAAAATTTTCCTTTTTTTAATTCATTTTCCCTAGTTGTAATTATAAATAAATTTATTTTATTTTTATTTTAGCATTTTTTTTATTCAATTACTTCATGTTGTGGTTGTTGGGTGCCCTACCATTTGGCCATGCCAAAAGGTTAAATGTAAATGGCTTATGGCCAAATTGGATTGGTTCTGGTCTGAAAATTGGGATTTCAATAAATTCACCAGCTGTTTAAAATTTTAAAGCCAAAGAAAAGTAAAAAAGAATCAAAAGTAAAACAGAGATGGAAACTGGAGTTATACAGAAAGAAAGAAACAATTAATAAGATTAGTATAAGATTTTCATTTAATAATAAAAAATATTAAAAAGGATATATTGTAAGATAATAAGTGTTATTAATATTCCTGTAGTTGAAAAAAAAAAATGGTAATAAAGGGCAACTCAAATAATTGTAGTTTGGGTTTTCCCTATTTTAAAATGTCAAGAGTACAAGGGCAACCCTGAACCCTGATATACATATATGTTACTTGGAAAATGAATCAACCTACTGGTGCCACGTATTGCAAAGCTCAAATATTTGGTTCTGATACTCAGAGTTTTAAACTTTTCATGCAACTCAAGTCCCTCACATTTCTTCCATTTCCATCATCAAAACCGTTCATCCTTTTAGGCTCCAAATGGGACCCCATCAAGTACAATGGTCCATCCAATTTTTCTGTGGGCCAATGTTGTTGGCCACTCCTACCGCAAGCAGGGATAGGATCTTGCGCGTCTCACACACGCGCCTTCATTTTTAACTTAACAGGACGGGAAAAAAAAATGTTTGGTTTGCTGAAATGTGAATATTATTGTAAACAACTACAAGTTTATCCAAAAAGGAAATAACAAAACCCAAAAAAAAAAAAAAAAAAAAGACTCTCGTGACGAAAGTACCCTTCATTTTGGATAAAAAAAACAAGTGTGGCATCGAAGAGAAAAATATAAAAATAAAAATAAAAATACTATGCTTCAAGTTGAAACTAGCATTGATGCTTTTAGATGCACCAGGTTTCACTGTAGGCTTGTCTCGACGTGATCATTTCCTCAGTTTCTTTTAAACAATTTTTTTTTTTTTTTTGCTTTTGGACAAGCAAGAGTGACGTGGCTGTAGCGGCAGGGTTCCCTTTTGAGCAACGGTGCACGCAGCCGATTCGTTGATAGTAAATAAAGAGAAAACCTAAGGGTATCATCGTCCTAGTCGAACAAAAATCGAAATAACAAGAAAAAAAAAAAAAAAAAAAACTCTGATTATTATCGAGTTTTGTGAGAGAGAAAGAGTAAGTGAGTGAGATCTGCGACAAAACAAAGAAAGAGAGAAACCCAAAACATCAAAAACCCGAACTCAAGTTTGAGGCAGCAACAAAGTGAGAGAGAAAGAGGGAGAGAGAGAGAGAGGGAGAGATTGTGTATATATAAATAAAAATCCATTTCCATTCACCAAAATCTTAAACTCTTTTTATTTTTATTTTTTCTTTCTTTTGTTTATTTTTTTTTCTTTTCTCTCCCTCTCTCTATGAGGATCCGAAAGAACGCGAAGCTTTCCCCTCTTCTATTCTCTTCTTCTTCTTCGTCGCAAGGTGGTTCTTTTCCGGTGGAGACCTTTCAGACCCACGTGTGCCAGCTTAACCAGTCACCATGGGATGTGATCCCCTTTGACTCTGACTCAATCCAGGTTCGTCACTCTTCTAATCTCTCTTTCTCTTTTTTTCTTCTCCCCCTTCTTCTTCTTCTTCTTTCAGATCTAATAAACCCTTTCCTCTATCCTTTATTAGGGTTTTCTTTTTCTTCTTCTACTCTTTTCCCTCGTTAGGGTTCTCCTTCTTCTTCATTCATCGTCCTCTTCCCTTCTAACTCCAAATTAGGTTAATGGGTATCCCTCATTTCTCACTATTTCTTCGTTTTTCTTTGCTTTTGCTTTGTTTTTCTCCCCCGACACAGTTCGAAGCCGAGGATAGCTTCACCGCTGGAAATAATGGCAGCGCTGGCGATTCCATTGGAGCTGTTGAGAGGTAAACGTTATATTTCATTTTCATTTCCAATTCCCATTAGGGTTTTTTTTTTCCATTTCTCCCAAATTTTCGTAAAACCAAAACCTTTTGTTATGTTATGTTTATCTGCTCTGTGCTTGCTTGCTCGAATGAATCTTCAACAACAATAACAACAACAACAGTGTTGCTTCGATGATGGAAGAAGCTGAAGATAAGCACAAGATAGAAGACATGGCGTTGGACGATAATCACGATAATGGTGGAAACAAATGCAAGAGCTTGAATGAGAAGGGTTCTCCATGTAAGAATGAAGTTAAACAAGGTCAATCATTCTGTTATCACCATTTGTCTCTGCTTAGGTCATACAACAATAATGGGAATGACAATAGTGGTAGCGGTAGCGGTGGTGGTGGTTATAACAAGAAACCGGCATCATCGACCACCGGCGGGGCGCGGCGGGGCGCTAGAGCTCGTGGCGCGGCGAAGAAGGCTCCTTCTTCTTCGAACCCATATGAATTCTACTATTATTCTGGGTTTGGACCACTGTGGGGGAAACGAAGAGGCGATAGGAATGGAGAAGGTAGCAAGAATAGTGTTATTGTTGAGAATTCTTCTTCAACAATGGTGGAATCAGAGAATGTTATAGCTTCTCCTCCTGATGATGTTGTTGCTAATAATACTAATAACAATAGTATAAATAATAATAGTAATATTCAGAGTAGTGGTGGTGGTGTTGTTGTTACTTGTTCTTCTACTCAGGTGGTAGTGAATGAGGAATTTGATTATGTGGATGATGACGAAGAAGAGGATGCTAATGAAGATGAGAGTGGAAAGAAGAGAATGAGGAAGCCTGTGAAAGCAAGGTCTTTGAAATCGCTAATGTGAAGAATCTTGTATGTAAAATCGTGGGTAGGGGTTGAATGAATGAATGATATAGTATAAGATCGAGGGTTGGGGTTCTTCAATGTAATGTTTTGTGATTACCTAAATTTGATGTTGTTGTTGTTTTTGTATTTTTATTTTTATTTTTTAATTTTGGTGTTAGGGTGGGTTCTCTCCTTCTTCTACTGTTTGGGATATTTAGGGTTATGAAATAATAATGCTAGTTTTTTTTTATTTTATTTTTTCTTTTGTTGGGTTTCACATGATGATGATGTGTTAGTTCGTGGGTGAGGTTAGGCTTGCCCCTGGAAACAACATGATGGATGGTAGGGGTTTTTTTCTAGTGTGAAGGAGGTGGACCGTATGAACTGTATGAATCAGATGTTTTGAAATTTAAGGGTGTATTGGTAAATCGAGTTTGTCAGTTTTTTATTTTTATATATTTTTGGGTTCACTTGCTTTATTATCTTAAAGCTTTATCCAGAAACGGAGGATTGGACTTTTAAAATTGGCAGTTATATCCATGCATAAATATACTGTGGGCCACCATGGCAGCATATTTTGAAAGTTACTTCTTTTTTTCTAGTCTTGATCTCTTTTGTTATTATTATTATTATTTTCTCTTATCGTACAAGGGCTTTTGTTAGACCTACCCTTTTATTTCAAGGGGTTTTTGACAAAAGAAAAATAAATAACCATAATAATAATAATAGAAAAATGAAATCTGACCATTTCCTTTGGCCAATGTTTCCCTTTATTTATTTAGCCACTCAGCTTATTAAAAACTAGCATTGGCAAAAGAGCCAAAAGATCGAAGTGCTAATTATAGAATTAAAATAATAAACACAATACTGTTAAACATCATTACACGGAGCTTGAATGATCGCATGAGCTTTGTATGGGCACACTCTAATATTTAGTAAAATTCTTAATTATTTTAGCATTTGCACCTTTTTCGCTTGCAAAATTGTCAACACAACAATTGTGTTTTTTTTAATCTATTTTATAGGTAATTAAACTGGTCAAATTCTTATTTTCATTTCATCTCATAAAAAATGTTATTAAATGCTGATATAAATTGTTATTAAATGCTGCGCGCTCTACCATGCAATGAGTTTTAAGAAATAAAGAAAAAGATCTATAATTTTAAAAATACTTTTCATATTGTCGTTATTCACATAGATCATGAAAAATATAATTATTATATTATTTTTCAAAATTAATTAAAAAAGTTCAAAGTAAAAAATGTTAACGAGCTTAAACAATAAGGAGGTTAGTAAAATCCGTAACCAATTTACGTAATTTTGAACAATTTCCGGGAAATATTGGGAATTTTTCTTAAATTCTTAAAATGTTTTTATAATATAGATAAATTTACACTTGCCCTCCTGAAAGCTATAACTAATTTTAAACCCATAAAAAGTTAACTTATAAATTTTTTTTACTCTGCTCGTGGATTTTGTGTGTGTGAAAGATTAGCTTACAGGCTAAGATTATTTGGTTTACCTTAATTTGTGCATTGGTGATTAGAGGTGACAAAACGAGTTCAACCCGACAGGCTGCATTGTTCAATAAGCTCCACCTAATTTGTCAGGCTGAAATTTTTTTATTGTAAAATAGGTTCGGTCCGACGGGACGGGTCCATGGCTCAGTTTTGAGTCATGCCATCCTATTTATATTTAATGGTTCTAATTTATTAGTTATATTTTTTATTATTAGATCAATGACTAAGAATAAATGTAAGACTCTACGAGTTGGTATGAAGGCAAAATTTTCATTCCCTTACCACTACACTGAGTTATGATTTAGATGGAATGTCACTTGGGAAAGTTTTCGGCAAATCTTTAGATTTGCTCTTTTTTGTTTGAATCATAGCAATTGGCTTTGTGATCAAATTATGGATTATCGAAATATAGTTGTATCTTTGCTTCTCTAGCTTGCAGCTTAATATGATATAGCTAATGCATTGTAAATCATATTTTCCTAAAGTATTTTAAAATAAGATTAAGAGTAAAAAGTAAAAATATTATCCTAAACGATGAACAAATTATATTATTTGAAACTTATTTGATCTTTTGTTTTGGGAAAAAATGTTTATTCTTTTAAAGGAGGGTCATTTTAGATAAAATTAGTATTTTTTATTTAAAATTTAAATTAAAAAATATCCACTTCCCCCATGATTTCCATTGTGTATATATTTTCTCTCATTTAAAAGGATATGTCCTTTAAAAGGACACAATTTTATGTCCTTTAAAAGGACAAACACCAAATCCTTTGTTTTTATTACTATAAATATAAAATTTATTTAAGAAATAGGGGCTGTTAATATACAATTATAGAGCTATAAAAGCTCACAACTAGTGGCGGAGCCGACCAAAAAATTTAGGCAGTGCCAAAAAAATTTAGCACAACCAATACCCGTGTTCATATAACTAAAGGTGGTCATAGTTTAAGATTTCAATAACAATGAATAAACAATTAGTATGTTTAATATGTCTTTTTTTTTATATGAACAATTTGACTTCAAAAGGATTCTCTTTCAGGAAAATGATAACTAGGTTGCAGCCCACTTTGGTCCTTGGGAAAGTGGCAATATTTTCCTTTTGAATTAGGTTGTTGAAGTGGATGGAGATGCAATAACTGGTTGCAAATTTTTATTTTTTAAACATGCTAGCCAAAATCAGTTAGTGCCTTGTCATTGTTTAAACATGTCAGCCAAAATCGGCCAGTTAGGCAGTGCAAGACACTATCTAAAGACAATGTGACTCTGCCACTGCTCACAACATGACATAAAGTATCTAGCATACATTCTGATTTGACTTATATGATAAACAAATATGTGCAACCACATTACAATTCTTCAAACATTAGAAAATAACTTTCATCTAAATTGAATATCATCCAACTTTTTAATCTAGGAAAGTTCACATGTTTTCTTCCTTTTAAAACTTATATGATCAATATAGTATTATCAGTTTTCATTTACAAATCATGCAAGATGAACTCCAAAATTAGAATAGCTCAGTAATGCTTATGTTAATGTATCCAATAAGAGTGTCAAATATAGACAAGCATATATATCACAATATCTTAAGAATGCACAAAATCATACATGAACGAAAAATATATATATCTACACACAAATTTAGTCAGAGATACCTGGATCTAAATATTATGTAGAATCCAAGTCTTTTTTATGGTGGTTAGAGATTGCTGAGGGAAATTTTTTCTCTTGCTCTAATGGGAAGGACATGGTGATTAGCCTACAAGAATTCCAACGCTTAAGTCAATAGATAAATGAGAAAGAAGAGGTAATGTGATAAATTTGTATGTGTACCTAAAAGATTTGTATCTATATTAATAAAGTAAAGAAGGTATAGAATTTAAGGTTTAAAACTTAGTCCTTGAACTATTTGAGTGTTACAAATAGATATGTTTGCCTCTAGGAATAAAATATGTTGATGTAACAATAATATATAGAGGTAGCGATACGAACTAAAGCTCTACAATAGAGTCACGTGAATAAGTCTCAGGAGAGCATGGTGGCTCTAGGTATGACTGTATTGCAGAGTAACAACAAGGAGAATGATGATGCAAAAAATGCCTCTTCAATGGTGGAGAGGGGTATTTATAAGGGGAAGAAGATGTGAGATAGTCAGTCATTACCTTTTTTCCTTGTGGGCCCCAATTATGTATGAGGCTCTAATTAGGGAAGAAGATTCCTATGAGTGAGGCAACGATTCCTCAATTATGAGTAAGGTGTGTGTGTGTGTGTGTTCACGTGCTTGAAAGATGGCGATTTGATATAGTGAAACATTAGTCTTAATTTTGGGATACATGGGTTCCAGCCCTATCAAGGGGCCTCAGTGGCCGACCCAATAGATTGAGCCTGTGTGAATGATTCAAAACAATCATACTCATAACTAAGGTAGATTACAAGTCCAGTACACACGCAAGAACAATACATAAGTTAGTCATGCCCTAATTGAAGAAGCATACCAAAAATATGTTTAATTTTTATTAGCCAACAAAATACCTTTAGCATTTGCATCAAATGCCTATTAATGCTCAGAAAATAAAAGTTTTATGGTTTTCAGTTAAATTACTAATAACTAAATGAGAGACCTCGCATTGTACTTCTGCCAAAGGCTCATGAATTGCTACACATAAGCATTTTTTACTTTAGTACAACAAAATCATTATAAATTTTTACATTTCAAAATAGTTAGATAATAATAAGATGCTCAATTTTTTTAAAATATTATGAAATACTATAAACATGTTTTCATTATAAATTGATTAAATCATATAAGGTTACATTAATAAGGCACGCCAATTTTTTATAAAAAATTTTTTGCAAACAAAGGGTGTGTAGTGGCCCCCTAAGCTAATACAATTCTTTGTAAACTTTACATTCTAAAATATCAAAGAAGTAAGATTTGAAGTGTTGGCCCCATCTTAGAAAATATATGGCTCCACCAATGCTTCATATAACCTTCCATTATGATGGTGGCAATGACAAATAAACATATAATATGAAGACTAACAAGTCTAACATTAATTATTAGTTGTTAATCTCACATATATCTAACACCTCATGTGCCTAATGAAATAGAATGTTAGGTGAAAGTGAAGCCAATTACTAATAATGGTGGTAAGATCTACATTGGTGTAATTTGATTTGTAGCAATGATTGAAAATCGTCGCTAAAACTTTAAAATTTTAAACTAAAAAAATAAAGTGATAGTTAGATTCACTAATATATTTTTTAGAACAAAGTGGGCTTTGAAATTTTAATTGCCAAATAAAAATAAAATTTTTAGCAAAAAAGGTGTTTGCATATCATAAGAATAAAAATGGGCCACAATCGTATAAAAAGCATGTAGAAACACACATAAAAATTAAAACAATACATAACATAATCAAATGGAAATTTATGCTATTAAATTACAACTCAATTGTAAATCATGTTGTCACACAAATAGCTTTCAACATATTGTGTAAACTCTTACATCAAGTCATGAATTTATGCATTTAAATATACAATTATATCTATAGTTATAAAAAAACTACAAGTGTAAACTATTTCTTCATATAATAATTTATGTTCTGCGAACAATTCATATATGTATTTGACGAAGAAAATTTCTAAATATTATACCTCAACATTAGCTCATAGTTATTAGGTGTTGTAAATTTATCTTTCACAAGTTTTTTAAATCATTTGTCTGGCCTTTGTCAGGCATATACTCTAGACCAATAATAAGAACACAATTAAAAAATCATTCCAATTTAATAGAAGGCCGCTTTTCAAAAAATACAACACTATAAACTAATATA